CCGGTATGCCGTGTCAATGCGTCCACGCCTACGCGTGTAGGTGGACTTTATGCGGCCAGGCAGGTGTTCCTCCTCACCCTCAGGCAAATTCTTGCTGTTCTTTCGCCGGTGAGACTATGCGTGCTTGCTAATGTATGCCAGATTGAGGCTGTTCGCACTGGTCCTCAATCGCTGCAACTTTGGAACCACTTTAGCCGGCAAAGTCACAGCAAAATATCACCAAGCTCATACCCAACTTCCCTATGTAGCAGAGAACTCGGGACTACTCGAGGCACCCTGTTCGACCGCAGGTGTTAAATTCGGGCACCTGATACTGACGTCACTGAAACTTGGCAGCAGAATTTGCTTCGATGCAGTCCACATCATATTTTGCGTCCCTCGTGTTCGGTAACACAACCAATATCTACGCACATTGTCTTCTTGTTGTGCACTCTCCCGCATGCTTTACTCTGCCAGTAGCACACAACCGGTAGGCGAGGGCGACATTTGCGACCCGCTTAATTCTATAGACCATTTAAAGGGCTTCTGTAAAACACTCGTTATAGCCCTCTTAATTGGTTTAACACTGACGCTCAACAGTTCAACCGTCACGAACCACGAGGTCTCCCACTGCTCAGTGAAGTGGACGTGAATTTGTTTATGGCAATGCAGACATTTGTCGCATCTACCCCGTTTTCAGGGTCCAGGGGTACATACAGCAACACGACAGTCGACCGTCCATTCCGAAGATGTCGCGCGTGTGCCCCATCGCATGATGGAGTAGGGATGCTGACTTGCGCGTGAATTGGTTTATGGTGTAGGCTTTCGCGGTATCTACTGCACTCTCTTGTCCTTTCATCTGGGCCCGATGTCGTGACAGAGTCAAGAAGACCGGAGGCTGGATCGGGCACAAATACCTGGCGCGGCATCTGGGTTTGCCACCACACCCTTGGTCTTCGTGCAAAGGACCGGGATTCAATACACCAAGGTGGAAGAGTTAGCTGAGATACCAACTGACTGAGAGTGCCGTAAGGGTCACATTAAGAAGGAGCTATTGCAGCCTTATTCTCCATCCTGAGAGGAGGACCGAGTTATTCCGTAAGTTCGCGACCTTCCAATCCACAGCTTTTTGCGCACTGTGGTAGGCTCGAGCTCATCAGATTGTTTATAGTGAGAAAAATGCGCCGAGTCGATTTACTCTCTCTACCCTTTACTGTGCATCAATCAGTTGTCCGAACCGGTCAACCAGCTGGTCCTGTGATTATGCTAGTTGGTTGACAAAGTTAGACACAGTCCGTTAGCGCGTGCTACATACGCGGCCCCGGCCCTCGTTCAACACACCAGCGCACAACTGCGTGGATCTCACAGGTACCAGTAACACGAGAAGGTACACACATTTACTCATCAGTTAACCTGACGAACACACGTGCAATTCTAACTGTGTAGTTGTCAGAAAACGAGGGATCCCGGCGTTATCCAATGCGCCACATGGTTGAGGTTTCTTCGTTACCTATTCTCTGCTACCAAACCGGAGCTAGGCAGGTTCCGCTATCGGTTATAGCAGCCTTGTCTTACTAAGATCTTCGGCTGTTTATTTGTGGCACGGCTACAGCACACAGAGTGTGTTGGCTTTTTGTGCTTATATTCAGAGGGAAAGAGGGCAGTTGTCAAGTCTTTTTGCCGACTGCTAATTTGACGATGAGTATGGGCCTGATCTTCGACTCTCCACTGCTTCGATTTCCCTATCGAGGTAGGAACTTACCGGGCCTGCTTTCGGTGGGTCTCGGATGACGTAACAGATGCTATAGGTGGCTCGTCCGCAGTACTGGTTATGTTGTTTCTGACAGACAGGCCAGACCGACTGCCTGCGGGATCAAATTTTTCTATTAGAATTTGGTAGAAACTGGTCGTTGTTGGTATATTAGTCGGACCTACATGTGTCCAGTCGACACGTCATGCGCGCTGAACGATCACTAGCATTGACTTTTCTAGCGTTCGACTACTTGTTCTCTTATCGACTGTCACCAGTTCTAATTTATCTGCCTTCGGGCACCTCAACCCAGTTTGGCTCGTATTCCGCGGTTGCTGGATCGACTGTCTTTAGTGGCCGATAATTCGTATTCTAGTTTCAACGCCAATTGCGGTCAGACCGCGGTCTGGCCTACCAACACTTGTGCATGGCTAACATGGCAGCGACACCATCTCAAACAGGGATTTTGGTTCATGTCAGTGCAGCCAAGATCCTTGTCTGCTCGACAACTTTTGCGGTCGAGACATCGTAGACAACACCCGTTAACGGCATTACCAGCCTTTGTGTCGTGCTGACCACACAGTTTGAGATGTGGCCCGTTAACCTTAGTGTTCTAGCCCGAGCACTCTGCCTCAGCTGTCGTCCTCAGACTCAGGACAGTAGGCTTGATAGTTTATAGAGTCATCAAACGTGACTAAGCCATTGTCTGCACCTAGGCTGCACTACTTTAATCGTTCCCTTTACAAAATTGAGGAGCCGGTTCCGGCTGCCACTGTCTCGTCCTGCCTCTAGAATGGTTTTGTCACAGATGCAATCTGTTGGAAATCTGACACAAAGTTTCACGCCCACTCCTTTAATCAATTGTCTATGGAATCTGAAAGAGCTGTAATCCTCTGCGATGCACTAACCGCAGACTGGCGTGTGCGACGGGACCCAATCTGATGCCTCCGAGACATGCGCGCTTGCAGTCTGTTTCGACCATCCAATATTCATGACATGAATTATGAGTGTCCATGATGACTTGAAAAGATGAAGTTACCCGCTTTGCAAGCCTCATGGGTGATGCGGAGAGAGTACTGCTAAGGCTTGGTTCTCTTTTACAGAGAACCAATTTCTCAGGTTGTTTCTCAGTCACGCCTCAAGGCACACACAGTATACCCTTTCCTGTACTTATGTGGTGGTAAATTACGTCTTTGAATTTACTTTTCAAAGTGGACATACTCGAGTTTGGAATCAGGGTATTTGCCAAGACCGTGGAATTTCTGTTTAAATAGCATCATTTTCTGTCCATTTATTAGAGCTCTTAGTGAGGTGTGCAACGTGACCCACATCCATTGCACACTTTTTATGACCTACGTATAGCACCTACGTAATGAAGCAGAGAAATTTCAGTTCCCCAAGTAGTAAGTGTACAGCATGCAGTTTACAAACCCTAGACTCAAGTGATGCAGCAGTTGGGATCCAAAATTATTCAGGAGTGGAAAGCCTTTTTTTAAATTGGAAACTGCCCCTACTTCCAGTAGACAATTTGAGAGAGGCCTAATTTATTATAAGTGCGGCAAAGCATATTTTTGTACATGTTTTCTATGAAATATGTTTGGTCCTGCTACTGCTGATGGTGATGATGATGCTGATGAGGCGGATAAGAATAAGGTTCATAATGTTTGGTCCTACTGCCGCCGCCGCCGATGATGATGATGATGATGGTGGTGGTGATGATGATGATGATGATGATGATGATGATGATGATGATGATGATGATGATGATGATGATGATGATGATGATGATGATGATGATGATGATGATGATGATGATGATGATGATGATGATGAGGCGGAGGTGAGGGATGAGAACAAGGTGAATAGTTACTCGTTGGTTACCGTTTTCTTCCCATTCCGTTTTAGCCCGAAGTCAAAGCCACTCACTTGTCAACATGCTTAAGCTATTGGTATGTTTCGCTGCTTTCCCTAAGTAACCTCCTCACAGGTGAGCTTTGCTGCTGGATTCTACTGCGGTGCCTATTTCCAAGACAAATACAAGGTATCCTCCTAAAGTACGGCTGTCTACTTGTTTGTTATTAGATATCTCCCGTATCGGAACCCAGGCAAATCCTAGACAAGGCAACAAAGGTGTTGCAGGATCTGTTGGATGGCAAAAAGAAGTAGATCTCAACTTGATAAACCCAAAGTGGTCCCTCCCCCTCCCTTTTTGTATCTTCAATGCATTGTTTGATCTAAAATATATTTTTTGGTTAAATTCCTCGCTTTTTTAGTATGCAAACCCACAGTCACACTCCTATGGTCAGGTGAAATCATGTCGCCTTTTATTCCTCTGTGTGCCTTAAGCTGCTGCCCTCCCTGCGTCTCTGTTTCCTGATTGTCGCCTTGGCATGCATGCAAAGCATAGCCTTGGGACTTGTAATTCCCCGTTCTGTCGAAAATTACAACCGGTCCCTGCCCCTGCGTCTGCCATTCACTCTGCGATGTGATTGGACTGTGCGGGATCTGGGACCAACGCTCCAGCCGCTGATTGAAGATGCCGACTTGGATGGACATCCGGATATCTTCGCCAACACCCTGGACGGTTCCATTTTGGGAGTCCTGCGCGCTGATCTTCTTGACCCAGATGTGGCCGCCCTGGCTGACGAAGAACCTTATCGATGGACTTATTTTCACAATCGGAGTCAGTACTTAACCAATCCTGTCACAGTGAGTTAGCTGCCCCTTCTTGCATCCGTGCTTGTTAGTAGACCCAAGCAGAGGCTCGGCGCTTGTCAAGTCCAGGCACCCGTCCCAAACTAGTGAGAAGCATCGAGGCAAGGGTGTAACTTGTTGTTTCTGTTCCCCTTATCCTCTGTGTGTGCTCCGACGCGAATCGTTTAAGCATCAGGTCGTCAAGGATTTCAAGGACGCCAAGTCATCCTGTCAGATTACCTCGATTCTCGAAAGGCGTCCCATAGCGACCAGCAGCATACTCATTAGGGCCTACTAATGAAGCCTAAGGGGCCTGGGGTCGCCATTTCTGGCTTATTAGTCGCCACTAGTCAACCTCATTCAGTCGTAGGTTTGGATAGCAAGCACGTCTCGTAGCCTGATGGCGGGCAGGACAGCGGACTCGCGACTGGGTAGTAGTACCCCAATCTTCGCGCCCGATTCCGGGTTCAAATCCCAGGTTTTCGGAGCATCGGGTTGGGTATACCTGACGGGCGATGGATAATAGGCCAGAAATGATCATCCAAGTCTCCCCTGCCGTTGTCAGTACTCATTTCCGCAAAATAATAGCTCGTCAGACATGGTCCTAAGTCGCTGAGTGTAGTTGCCTACATGTTCCCGTCCCCTGTTTACTGTCACCCCATATCTTGCCTCCTTAAACGGGATGGCGGATCGACAAGCAGACCTATCAGAAGGGATTGGGGGAGAGAAGTAATAAATAACACGCACACACTCCCACCGTGGAAATGTTGGAAACCTGCACTGAAAGGCCTTCACGCCACGGCGGCTTGACAGCAATGGAAGGAATATGTGGACACAGTTCCGTCGGTGTCGGCATCTGAACCCTATTAACCTTGTCCTAATGAACATCAGAGACAGTTCTGAAAAATTTCGGTCAAAGTAACTAACGACGGTTCCGTTCTGGGAGCCCTGCACGCTGATCTTCCTGACACCCAGATGTGACCGCCCTGGCTGACGGAGAACCCTATCGGTGGACTTGCATATTTTCACACTCGGAATCAGTACTTAACCCATCCTGCAATAGTTATTTAACTACCTCTTCCTGCAATAGGGAGTTTTGGCTGTTCCTATCAAAAGTCGAATATGAAGTCAGGTTACTCGTCTCAGGCTCCTCAGAGGTATTTAGATAAAACTGCATCCTCCGTTTTTATTCCGCTTGTGCCAGGTACGTGCTCAAATGCTAACAATTTATTCCAAGGATTAGGGTTGATTATCAAGGGTTGTAAGTAGTTCTTTCCGACCACCCAAATTCTTTTCAACTTCACTGTAGCTCATTTCCTTATCTTTTTGTTCCATGAAGTACTCAACATAAATCCTAGCCAAGGGTTGGCACTTTCGGCGTTTATTATAGACCCTACTGCGGATTATGTCCGATATGTTACCCTTTAACCTAGCTGCTGGCTACCCGACGTGTCCACAGGTAGCGGATGGTGGAGCCGTCCTCAACTATATTTACAGTTTCCCAAATAATCTCCTAATCCTAATTTTTTTAAATTTTGGGATGCGCCCTACTTTAATTCATACATATATATTCACTCAGGAATGAGTGCCCGCTGATCTATTGGCCTCTCAAAGCACATAAGCTTCGCATGGGTGATAGGGGTCATGAAGGGACAACCATCTACCAGGCTGTACTACAACAAGGCGACCGGCGAAAGTGGTAAGAAGGCCAAAAAACCGGTACCGTCAGTAGCCATGTCAACGGACATCCAGAGCACGGATTACCCGCATAGGAATATGTGAACCCAGTGTCACACGACCAACCAGCCTCCATCATCAACGAGGAGGCACCTGCCGAACTGCAAACCATCACCACCGTCGCCTCTTTCACCAACAGTCCGGACTCAGTTCTGGCATTACGATCGCTCCTAAAGACACTGGCCTGAGGGTTTTTCGACACAGCAGAAGCTCTGAGCATAGATATCACATCTCGCTTTATGTCCCGTGTCGAAGAAGGCAGTGGAAGATGGTGATCGTAGAAGTCTTCAGTCCGCGAGGCAGCTGACATGATATTGCGATTTACGTAGCAGCGCCGCCGCTAATGGAGAAGTGGCTGGACCGTGCAGTTTTCCGTTCAGGAAGCTCCGGTTAGGTCTCGCAACAACTGTTCCTACCCAAAAATCCGGAAAGTGACAACGAAGTTGGCTATAGGCGATCGTAAAAAGCTATTGGCCGGAAAAGAGAAATCAGTGGCGAAGATCTCAAACGTTGGTGACGCTCGAAAAGTATGTCGCCGTCACTTGGTGAGTTCGTTTGTCACGTGAATGGCAGCTTTATTGTCGACAACTCGCCGAAGGTCAGTCGCTAGCGTGGACACTTCGGACGCCTTCTCAACTTCTATGAGCGACGCCTCACATCCTGGCTGTCCTCTGCAGTGCCATGTGACCTTCCCCCATCCTCCTGAAGCAGAAGTCGCGATACTACAAGGACGGCTGTACTACAACAAGGCGACCGGAGAGGACGGTATTCTCACTGAATGTCACAAGCCATGTGTCGACGTTGGCGCCCTGGATCCACGAGTTGATTGAACAAGCGTGGGGATATGAGGTCGTTCCTGATGACTGCGGCTAGGTCATCCTTCTGTCTGTCTTCAAGAAAGGAGGTAACACAAAGTGCAAGAACTGCCGCGACATGAGACTCATCGAGTTTGATGATAAGGTCTTCGTTGTTGTCCTTCTCAGGTGATTCTAGACTGTGCGTGACTCTAGGGCGTGGTACAACCAGACCGGATTCCGAGCCAGGCGTGGATGCGCGGACCAGATATTCACACTGAGGTAGATTCTGGAATTGCGCCATGGCCACTAGGAACCATCGAAGTTATGAACGTCCTCGCCAAATATAGGCTAGGGCACATTGTCGCAGCATTTTTCGAAAATCACGAAACTAACAGATATCTCTCAAATAGGCTTCCAGACCACAAATCATTGCCGGAATAAGGCTGAAAAAGAACTACTGGTTATTTCTTGCATAAATAGCGTACTAAATCGCTAGGGTAACCTATCCGTACCTCTGTAGCGTGCATCTCTTGCATTGCCTGTCGATGTTATCATAAATCTGCTCACATTTCCACGAGAGAATGCGCAGCATTTACGTTTCTTCTCACTTCGCATAAAATCAGATATCAGTTAGCCCAGCTTATCTTGCCACTAAAACAACTTTAATTATTAGAGCACATTTTCGAGCATAGCCCGCGCGTTGCTGAAACGCCAGGTAGACAACAGACTGCGAAAGTCTCCTGAAGGTCACGGGCTTCAAAAACGGCCTTGAAACTCATCCTCACCCCACCTGCCCCAGTTACTGTGTCGTTGAACCATCATTTATCGCAAATCTTTAGATCTTCTTTGTGCCAATCCTATTTTCCGGCTGACAGTTGCCGCGCTGTGGATGCATGTCATCTGGGATTCGACCCTTCCCCTCCTCCGTTGTAGGTTGCTTTACCCTGGCGCGCGGAAAAGACGGTGTTGTTCGCCTCTGCAGATGGCAACCTCGACGTTTTCGATGTCGACGGTCAGCTGCTCGGCTCCGTTCAGGTTAGTTTGCCGTTTTACGCTTTCTCAGCAGTGTTCCTGCGGCACACCTAGAACATGGCCTATAACTCCTTACCGACCAGCTGTCCTAGTTGGGTCTGTTTTGTTTTAATTGATGGACCAGTACATGCGTGCTGTCAAGAATTAGAGGGAGCCATATAGCCAGTCAGTCATTACGTCCATCTCGGTCGGTTTGTTTGTGGAGCTCTCGAGGAAGGCAATTTCTTTGGTGAGAGAGTCGCCGCACGAAATGTCCACCTGTACAACATCATTCGGTTTTGATTTCACCCGACGCGCAGCACTTATCCGCCACTCCTCTGTGTTCTCTTGCCTGCAACACCCCCACAGTCCTGTAACCGCTTCGACTCACGGACGGAGCCAGTTGACAGTCGACGAGTTTCCTTATGGGACCGAGTTCGACTATCTGAGAGCTGCCGGCCGCGTCGTTGCATGCGTAGACGCGAATTCTATACCATTGACCGACGTCTTAGCATTCCGTTCGAACACTTTATTACTTACTGCGTGGGTTCGAATCCCACCTAGGCGCCGAGTTTTTCACAGTTGGGTCAATATGAATTATTCAAAATCTGCCAAAACATCAATGAATTACGTGAGCCTAGTAGTAATCTGGTGGATTCTAGGTGAATTACTTAGGAAATCCTGCTTGGGCAGTCAACTTACTGTATCAGATTTGGTGGATTCCAGACGTTGCAGTAGGTTGGGCGGGTAATTTGACCCTAGTGTGATAAAACTCGCGTCGTCCGGCGGGGCCTCGTAGCTCAGGTGGTTAGAGCGTTGGCTGTACTAAAGCCTTCCCCCTTACTGCGTGGGTTCGAATCTCTTCGAGGCGCCGAATTTTTCACAGTTGGGTCAATATGAATTATTCAAAATCTGCCAAAACATTAA